AAATCGTAGTAAATTTGTGTCATGTGCCTGCCTCCGTACGATTTTCGGATAAACTCAATCGTGACGTGCCAGAGCTCACGACGTTCCGACCTTCAGAATCGCACCGTGTACGCCCGCCTTAAGGCTATAGGTAGGTGAGGGTTTTGTTTTTTCAGGGTTGGAGCTAAACTCTGCAGGACAGCAGCTCTCTAGGACCGAACTTACCTACCCCTGGGATAGTTCACCAAAAAATGAAAATTCTGCCATTCTATTATTTCGTTCCAAACCTGTAAGATATTTTGAATAATGTTGGTAACTAGACAGTTGAAGGTGGCCATTGACTTCCATAGTATTTTTTTCCTACTATGGAAGTCAATGGCTACCTTCGAACTGTTTGGTTACCAACATTATTCAAAAGATCTTATTTTGTGTTCAACAGAAGAAATTCATACAGGTTTGGAACGAAATGAGGGTGAGTACTTGATGACTTGGTGAACTAACCCTTTAATGACTATTTATGTTACAAAACAGCATATGTGATATTTAAACCAGTAGTTCAGTCTTTAAGCATTAGTGAACAATAATATTACTTTATATTTTTCAATGAATTTATAGGATCTTCAAGATCCAGGCATAGACTGGGAAAGTGCCATACTGCAAGAGAATACTATAATGCAGTTGTGGTCCCTGAAATTGAATACCCACTTGATGAGCAATCATTGACGGAGCTGCAGAGAGTTATTGATCCGCTTTCTTACTCTCCTTCATATGGCCGTGACTTGTACATCCAGTTTCTCAATAACATAGTTCAATAAGGAAAACAATACACATTTACACAAACATTTTAGAACATTTTATTTGTTTACTTTTTGTTCAAACACATGGTCAAATTGAAACGGAACACTTTACAGTAGCTGTCATTTAAAAACATCTGTGAAATTTTTTTTACAAGTTTACAGACCTTTCTGAATGGGTACTTTAAAGCACATGATGGTAAATACCTGTTATTGTATTATTAACCAAAGAAACATGCTAACGTGCTGTCATTAAACAAAAATAAATCCCTGTGAACAATGTTATGTGTTGATAGACCTGTCTGACTATCATGCTTTAAACTCTGAAGAATCCTCCTCCATATCTAACAGCATCACTCATCATTTTTTAAACTCCTGGTACGTGCTCATGTGTTTAACTAGAAATGTCACTGTACAAGTGCAGGCACCAACTACTGGATAACATACAGAGTAGGGCTGTCACGATATTAGATTTTTCACACCACGGTTATTGTGGCCAAAAGAATTCACGATATCGATATATCGCGAAATCTATAGAAAACTTGGGGAATCAGCCAAATTAATTTTTACTTTATTTAGTTTTTCTTTTTACCTAATGAACATAAGGATACTGATAAACACAGGGCACATGCATTTTCACTTCTTCTTCTTCGGGTCACAGCTGACCTGAGACTCTTAACATCAAAACTGATACGTTAACCTGTTAACTTGTGTACCCGTATTTTAATCTCTTTAACTTATAGTTGCGCCGGTGTTGTGTAATATTCGGTTCCCGTGAAAAACTGTTCCAATGGGCGGGGTTAGTACGAATATTCAGATTCGTTCCGCGGTGGGCGTGGCCTTTTGAACTACAAACAAGCAAATGGAAAGGATTGTGTTGTCTGTTCTTCAGCTCTTGTGTGATGAATTATTTTGAAAAGGTAATAAAGCCGAATGTTCATACGCCCCATTTAGATGTACAGCTGTTTATGTTATTCACATAGGCTAAAATGCTTATTGTTTCGCATGTGCTTTATCAGAACGCTTTATCATGGCCATATGACAATGTTTTGCTGTGTAGCTTACGTGGATGATACTAAACACCAAACACAGCACGAATCGAACACATTTCTGTCGTTCCTCGTTGTTTTTTGTCGTTTATTTTCAAGCTGTAAACTGTGTCCCTAGTTGCTGTGTATTTTGCTGCATCATAACTTTCACAACTTTTCATAACTTTCAGTGACTGCAATTAAACTCAAATGTCGTTAGATGCATGTTGAAATAAAGATTTTTTAATGTTATCTGCTGTTTTTTTTTTTTGTCAAGAGCCTTGTAACAATTCAAAAAATAAATAATTAGCAGCTGAGATGTTGTTTATGGGTGTTTTCTGAGAGCTAAAAT